CTTTCTTTCCCTAGAGGCAACCACTGTGCTGTAATCTTCAGAGCCCCATTTGCATCCCCTTACCTTATAGTGAACTGTCCATTCTACATCCTGCTTTTTCCACTCAGCATTATGTTTTTGAGACCTATTTTGTTGGTACACGTAGCTCTCATTCACTCAGTTTAATGACTATATAGCATTCCATTGTATAAACTTACTATAATTTATCTTCATATATACATACATAGAGATATATCTATACGTATATACACGTCTCTATATATTTCTATATACACGCTTATTATATAGACACATATACACACATATATATGTCTATATATATTCACATTGGGTAGACGTGTGTGTGTGTGTGTGTATAAAACAATGTACATTCAGATTGGTTCCAAGGTTTTGCTATTAAAAACTGCTGTAGTTGGGCGCCTGGGTGGCTCAGTTGGTTAAGCGACTGCCTTCGGCTCAGGTCATGATCCTGGAGTCCCGGGATCGAGTCCCACATCGGGCTCCCTGCTCGGCAGGGAGTCTGCTTCTCCCTCTGACCCTCTTCCCTCTCGTGCTCTCTCTCTCTCATTCTCTCTCTCTCAAATAAAATCTTAAAAAAAAAACAAACTGCTGTAGTTAACAACTTGATAGGACTCTCCATGAGAAGTATTTATATGTGAGAATTTCTCTTGGGTAGTATGTATGTAGAAGTATATTTATTATGTTCTAGAGTATGTGCATCTTTATCTTTACCAGATTCAGCTGAATTGCTCTATAGAGTGATTTTACTAATTTACACTCCCAGCAGCAGAGTATGAGATCCCAGTTGCTCCGTATCCTCTCAGTATTTGCTACTGTCAGTTTTTTGTTTTTGTTTTACGTCTGTGCTTTTCTTGTTCTTGTTCAAGGCACTTTGAAATAACATTTTGAAGTGGTGGAGATTTAAGGTACTGATTATATTAATTAGCCAGGATGCAAACCCGGGACCAACACCCATGCTCTGAACCACTCTACAATATTGATAATTCAAGTAGGGTTGGGGGTACCATGCAGGTATATTACACTGTATGCAAAAGAGAAAAATAATGAGTGAATTCTACTTTAAGTCACTCTTAAGAAAAGATGTCCCATTAAAGCAAAGTTCTTTGTATTTGTAAACCTGAAATTTCAAAAGTTTATTCATGCATTCAGCATTGTTTTTCTGCATTGACTGTGAGCTATGCCCTGGGAGGGGATGTTGAACAAAATAGACATGGATGGTCTTGCCTTCATGGAGCTTATTTTAGGCAAGAAAAATGTCAGCTGAAGAGCCACAGCAGAAAATGTATAATTGAAAGCTGTAAGTGTTATTAGTGGTCAATAAAAGCTTTGTTGAGGAAATGATGTTCAAGGTGAAATTTGGAGAACCGGTAGAAAGTAAGTAGGTAAAAAGGGTGGGAGTAAAAAGTGTGTTTCAGGCAAGGGAAACAACATATGCAAAGGCCCTGAAGTGAGAAAAGCATGAAGGGTTGGGTTTATAAGGAATGCTTATATTGATTTTCTACTTGCTCTCCCTATACTTTTGCATTTATAGCTCTCTTTTACTAAAGTCTTGCTCTGTTCTGTTGAAAAGTATTCCAAAATGTTTTATTCATTTAGAAATCTTTTCAAAAAGTATTTAGCATTTACCTTCTGTGTGCCCATGTAGAAACAAATTGGTATTACACACATTTAGAATCTTCACTCAAAGTATAGAAAAACACACAAGTAGCTAAGTATTAAAGAGATAAACGAGAACACACATAGTGATACAAGAGGGCTGGTGAACAGATATAGAATGAAGGGTAAAGGATTTGGAAGAGAGTGTGGGTCAAAAGTGTGGCCACTTTGATCTAATCATATACAGAGCTTCATAAATAGAAGCTGTGAAATCAGGTGTGATGCTTACCCATCAAAGTCAAAAGCATCAGGACTCAGGATTAAGCGTGTGGAGTCTGGTGCTGGGCTGCTGGGGTTTCATCCTAGTTCTACTACTTCCTGGCTTTTTGGCTTTGGGCAGATTTATTCGATCTCTCTGCCCTTCAGTTTTCTTCCTTATAAAATGGGTTAATAAGAATATCTGCCTCAGAGGGTTGTTTTGAGAATCAAGTGGGATAATTTTTATAAAGTGGTTAGAACAATGCCTGGCATGTGGTAAGTTCTCAATGAATGTTAGCTATTGACTGAGGGTCCACTCATTCAGCAAATGTTAACAGAGCATTTACTATGTGCCAGGCACTGTATGATGTGCTGGAGATGCAAGGATTAACAAAATGTACAAGTTCCCTTTTATCATGGGGCTTATTGTATGGTGGGAGAGACAGACAATAAGCAAATATAAAAATATACAAGAGAATTTCAGACAGTGATAGTATCCAGAATAAAACCCAGGGATGAGACAAATTGATGGGAGATTATTTTTTAGATTGGAAAGTGACATTTGAGTTCAGTTAAG